TTTTTTTGGCCCTCGCCGCCACCTCGGTACCGGTGAGAGGAATTTAACTTCACTCCGCCGCCGCCACGCCACCGGGGACAAGAACAAGGACAAGAACAAAGAACTTTTTTTTCCGATTTGACGCCACCATTTGTGGGATCGGCCGATCAGGTGCGAATTAATTCAGGGTTCGAACGATTTGGTTATTTCGTACACACAATAGCCGGCGTTTGCCGGCGTACGAGGTTCGCAAAGTTGTTAGGAATCGTCAACTTCCGATATGTACATACATACAGACTGCATGCACGGGTTCCACGACGCCACCATTGGAATTCACTTCTACATAACAATACATACGCATGAACGAATTTGAAGTTTTGGATTTGGATTTTCCACGCCGTTGGGTATGTATGCTTCTAACATTTGGCCCTGATGTGCTCCCGTCACTTCGATTTAGCCATACGCCTCTCGGGACCGACGCCGTCCTCTCGAGCTGTTTATTATTATATTATAATGGGTATCTGTTTCATTCCACATTCTCACTGTTCTACATATACAGGACTTGGGGATGTGGGACTGACGTCATCAATCCCAGTTTCGTCCGCAATGTATGTACGCACGGCGTATATTGCGTCAATCAAGGAAGCACTCGACAGGCTCCGAACTAAACAGGCTCCGACGGACTTAAAAACTATTCAACAGGCCCCGACATGTGATTACCTCACCAGCGAAACTCAAGGAGGCAATTGTTCAATAAAATTGAGAGGTGTTGTATGGCATTAACATAACATAACTTACAGCTCTCCTTGACTCTTTTTTCTTTTTCTTTTCTTTTTCGATTTGACGCCACCATTTGTGTGGTTCGGCCGATCAGGTGCGAAAATTCAGGGTTCGAACGATTGGTTTCGTACACACACACACAATGGTTCGGCGTATCGGGGTTTGCCGGCTTACAATGTCCGATGAACGCAAAGTTGTTAGGAATCGTTAACTTCCGATATGTACATACAGCGTGCATGCACGAGGGTGCGCACGTATATATATATATATATACGGGACGGGTGGTTCCATGTATGCGCCACCATTGGAATTCCTTCTACATAACAATACGCATGCAAGTTTGAATTTTCCACGCAGGGTTCGAACGATGGAATTTCGTCACTGGTTATTTCGTACATCGGCCTGTCGGAGTTTGCCGGCGCAGCTTGTTAGGAAGTACAGCGTGCACGCACGGCGCACTCGTGCGCACGGGTTCCACTTCCACGACGCCACCATTAGAATTCCACATAACATAACAAATAACGCACGAAATTGAAGGTTTTGGGTTTTCCACGCCGTGGGTGCGCTGCGCATATCATATGCATGGCTTCTGACAGACATACCCGTCATGATCAGAAAAGTGCCTGCCTGCCAAAAAAACACGGCTTCGATTTCATTCCCCACTACCGTAAAGGCTCTCGGGACCGACGAGATGTTTGTTTGTTATTATAATGGGTATTTGTGGCCGAGGGGATGGTACGCATGAGTCTGTTTTCATTCCGCGATAAAATGAAACGAGCTCGTATGACGTCAATCCCCGAGTCCTATATATGTATGTAGTATGTTATATTGCGTCAATCAAGGAAATCATCAGAAACACACCTCGATTGACAGGGTCCGATTAACTAAACAGGCTCCGACGGACTCACCGCCGGGACAATTCATTCTAACAGGCTCCGACATCACACTTCACCAAGTTTATTGAGTAATTGCCTCCTTGAGTCGCTGGTGAGGTATGGCATAACATAACTTACAGCTCTCCTTTACTTCTAATTGTGACATAAGATGGATGGACGGACGGACGGATGGATGGATGCGTGTCAGGAAGGGAAGGCGAAGGGAAGGGCCCCGAGTGGCGAGAGAGGCGGCCGGGGCGGGGGGTATGGATGGATGGATGGATGGAAGGAGGGCCCGTTACGAGAGGGTGGGGCCCGGGCGTGAAAGGATTTGGCACTCGAAATTATGATAATGACCGGAGTTGTGCACCGCACGGCTGAAGGGTTTACGAGGCGGGTGCGTTTTGACTGGCGTGGGTGGGCTGCGAGTAACGTATTGGAATTATTGACAGATTTATAACGTCATTGGATGAATAACCGTGACGTTGATAACGTACCGACGGAGGGGCAGCCGGCGGCGGGTGGATGCATATGATAAAAGCGGTGATATCCCCATCGGACGGAGTGGGTAGAAAGATGGTAGAGGAGCATCCGATTTGGGCTCGTGGACGTCGGTGTTGGGCGTCGGGGAGATGCCGGTTCAATGGATTGCTTCTGGCAGTAAAAGCGGCCGACATGCGTACTGCCGCGGTGATCGAGTTGTCCTTGAGCGTTTCTGTCAAAAGATGGTGCACGTGTATAGATCGATCGGGGTGGATCTGCGATCGATCGATCGTGATCACCAGATTTGATTCCGTCATATGGATGCTATTGCCAAATGCGGCTGCTGTTGCCATCGAGCGACCAAAAAGCTTTTATGTATGCCACGAAAATTCGCGATATAAGACGCCGGGCGGACGACGCTGTGCCCCTTTTTGCCGCTATGCCTAGCTTCAGCCTGCGTCCAGTCAATGATCTGTCCCCGTCCCCGTCTCCATCCCAGTCGTCGCCTGCAGCGGCCACCCCGCCGTACAAGCCTGACCCCGGCGCCGTCAACCCCGCGCGCTCCCGCCGGCCCCTCTCCCCCAGCTCACTGCGCGGTATGCCCCACCATTCTTTTTCTTTTAATCAATTAAAAAAAATGCAGACGTTGACCTGACGCACACGGCCGACATGCCCCTGCGACGATACCCTGCACCGCCAACGGGCCACGACCTGATGGCGCTCTTCCCGCCACCTGCGCCCGACAACTTTGCGAACGAAATGCGCCCCACGCCGACGTCGACGTACTTCCAGCGCCAGGAGCGCGCCTTCTTCGCGCAGGCCGGCAAAGAGATCGTCCGCGTCCGCGTCGACATCGACCACCCCGACGTAGACATGCAGCACCTCGCCCCGAACCCGAAGCGCGCGTCGCTCGGGCTCCTGGCCTCCTCCGCCGCGTCCTCGCCCGCGACCCGCTATCCGGCACAGCAAATGTACCCGCCCCCGCCGCAGAGTGCGGGTGGCAGCGCCAGCGGTTCGCGCCAGGGCGCTGGCCCACGCACGCCCGTGTTCCCGCCTACACCCCACCCTTCGTCGGCCCAGGGCCCGCACCTCCCGCACCCGTCTTCCCACCCCGCGCGCCGTGACACTGACCCCGCCTCCGCACACCCCTCGCCCCACCCCTCGCACTCCGCACACCCCCACCCACACCGTACAGACTCGTCCTCGTCCGCGGCACACCCAATGCCGCCGCATCGCAGCGACTCGTCCTCTTCCGCACACCCGCACCCCCACCGCGCGGACTCGCACCCCATGCCCCACCGCGCCGACTCGTCCCCGCACCACGCGCACGCCCCACACCGCACCGACTCCTCCCCGCACGCCCACGCCCCGCACCGCACCGACTCCTCTCCGCACGCACACGCCCCGCACCGCGCCGACTCCTCTCCGCACGCCCACGCCCACCCCCCGCACCGCTCCGACTCCAATTCCTCCGCGCACCCCCATCCGCACCGCTCCGACTCGTCCTCCTCCGCCCTCTCCCACGCAGACGGCGCGGGCGACGACTACCGCGCGGACGACCCCGACGAGGCGTGGCGCCGCCCCATGCCGTACAACGAGCGCCGCCGCGCGGGCAAGCACACAAAGCGCGTCGTCGTAAGGACGTGAGCCCGTGTGCTTCCCCGCGCGGCGCCGCTCGTCGTCTGGCACGCACAGTTTCTGCGCGCCGCCTACATACCTACATATATTGCACCAATTGTATCCCGCGCACCCGCGCATATATGTGCGTCCGTCCTGCTCGGCCCATATCGCAGCAGCCGACTGACTGACGTGCCCAGCAGTCTTCTTGGTTTCTTGGGCCGTGGCCATCTTACCCCACCACCCCGCGCCGGACGGTCCTCCTCGACGTCGCGGTCCTGCGTCGTGCCACCATCCCCTAGACGTGCCACTGTCCCCGCGACGGACCACCATCCCCTCAACGTCGACATTGACCATCCGCCCACTCGCTGTCGGCGCACCCACCCCCACTCTTGCTCCCATTCTACTCTATTCTTGCAAACACAAAAACCCAACAACCCCACACTGTACATGTATACCTACCTACAATTCACCATATACCATACACACATACTGCACATATAACAACAACACGCAATTATTTTTTTGGCACACATTACACTAAAGATTAAATCTCGAAGACGGCAATAAGTACCAGCCCTGTTTTGGCTATGCAGGGACTTAGGTGCGTTCTACCGACGAAAAAAAAACCTATTATAGGGTTCCCGCGGAGTTTGCGAGGTTGGAAGAAATATTAATAAATGGATTGTGCCATGATCCTTCGGGGTGCAGAAAATTGCGAAATGTGGAGTTTGCGCAGGCCTCGAGTTCGCATAAGTATATGATAAATTGGCAATTGGCCCCACGGCGTCCCGTTGTCTGCGCGTATCACTGAGATTGCGCAGGCAGATGCATGCCGTGACCGCGAAAAAGCTCTGTCTGTCCCTGGTACATTGACGTTAATTCCCGTCCCTCGTTTTAACCGTGTAACGTTGTTTTTTTAATATTTTTCGACTCAACCCAGCTCGCACGTTTAATTGTTATCTTTTTCCTCGCTGATTTAATGCGAGCTGCGTGAATTATCGGTTGTTGGCCAGCGTTCGTCCCCGGGTCTCTGCGCGTATCAGATTCATCCTACATACAGAGTTCGCGGATGAATTCTACTTGAGAAAACCCGGTTTCGATTTTTTTTTTTGTGTTGAGAAATTGGGTTTGTCGAGAAGAAAACCCCTGCCGCAGATATCCGGCAGGGATGCCGGATCACGCCGGTTCTGATGCGTTGTTTTTCAATCTATTTTATACCACTAGACCTCCGTTGTTAGTCAGATAATGTTATTGAAGTAGTAAGACCTGGTGGTGTAGTGGTAATATATGCTCTAGACATGTTCCATGAATGAAGATGTATGAGAAAGTCCCTTGTTCAACTCAAGGTTAGGCCGTTTATTTTTTTTGTTTTGTACGTCATTTATTCAACCTTGACGTGGAAATCAAATGCTGGGTAGAAATGTAATATCCAACCGTGATACGAGGCTGATTGATTCCACAACTACCACGGCCAGTGCCACGGATTTGGGACATGATACCACAGCATTTTTTAGAGATTCTAATAAACAAATGAGCCACGCAGTTGTTCATTTTTAGAGTTAAGGAGGCGAAGATGGAGTTTTCTTGTACCATGAGAAACGAATCAGGGCAACTGCCAGGGGAGATAAAGCCGGTCGGAACGACAGAGCTGAGTTGGGACTCGCACTGGGAAGCGCATGTTGACATATTAAAATGCTCAAGTGTGACTCACGCAAAGGCTCCAAAAGCGTGGGTTGATGAATTTCGAAACTCCGCAGTCGCGGCTTTGATCGCCGCGAAAGGTAAAGCGGGTTGTCTCAATAATTTTCGGGCGGGGTTTCTCAATAGAATAATCCAATAAAAGAATTCCGAGGGTTGGAAGAAATAAATAGATTTGTGCCACGACCCATCGGGGTGCGGTTTGCGAGCAGGAAAATTAATTGTGAATGTGGAGTTTCGCACTGGCAGCTGGCCTCGAGTTCGCATATAAGATAAATTGGCAATTGGCCCCACGGCGTCCTCCAAGACACGTTCAATGTCTGCGCGTATCACTGAGATGCGCAGTACACATGTCGGGACCGCGAAAAAGGTCCTTGTCCCTGTTATCATAACGTTATCTTCAACACGTCCCGGGGCCTTTTAACCGTGTACGTTGTTTTCGACTACATATATAGTACGATTTTATATTTTATTTAAAAAATTATCGTGGGATGGGTTACTTAGAGTTCGCGTGGTTAGAGTTCGCGTGGGCCATTTTGCGATAAAAATCGTGCGAGGATGTGGACATAAATTGAATTCGAAGAACTGGATTGGCGATTGAACACAAAAGTGTGTGTTATGTACGGCATTTTTCTCCATGCATTGTCTGCGCCTATCAATGAGATGCGCGTCGTCGAAAAAGGCAGGTGCGTTGGCGTTCGCGTCCCTGACGATCTGTAATCGCACTCTTTGCGTTCGCGTACGCCGTAAAGGGCCCGGGGTTGCTATGGCTATCGCGTTGTCGTGCCGTACATTACAGACTATCGCGTGCCGTACATTTGCCAGGGCGTTCGACTTTTTTCTTTGCGGGCCGGGGGTTGACGGCAAGTGCGGGAACCGCAGCCGGGAAGTGCGTGCGGCCGTTAAATTTTCACTTCATTCATTCATTCGCGTAAAAAAGAAATCGCTCAGGATCCATTAGTTTGGGGAAGACCGGCGGAAAACACTCAACATTATTCACGTGCGAAAATTCGACAACACGGCTGTTCTTTTCAATGATGTCAGTTCCGAATCGATCCGCCTAACATACACTAGTTGCCGATTTCGGCAGGCGCAGGGCACAATTTTCTTTTGATATCTGATAATTGATTATGTGCGGCTATGTGCGGTAGATCTGATGTGCACATTGTTGAAAAAAATTACGTTGGCTTCGTTGTGCGCGATCGTGATGATGCGCGAGGGGGATCCGCGTGGGCCTGCGTGGGCGCTGAATTGGATCGATTGGATTGGATCTATATTATGGCACGTGGCGAAAGAGATTCGCGCTGCCCTCGATCAACGCACACGGAGTCTGCAGGGAATTCCCGCGCGGTCGGATTTTCCCTTTCTCTTGTTTTTTTTTTTGACTCTAACCTCATCTTTTGAACCTTGAACCTGATTACATAATATGGGTGGTTGAACATGCAACGGCAAGGAGCAGTCAGGATTATTTAAATATATCTACCCGCTTCAGAACGTGTAGAGTTGCAAGTAGCAGGTAGGTCGGATAATAATTCGCAGCGCGCAGGATTCCAGGAACGATTCTGCAGCGGTCAACTTGATCTCCTGATCAAGAGATCTAATCAAATACGAGTACCAGAATCCAAAATCCAATAACCTAGAAGCCTTTCTCCCGGCGGTAGCCTGATCGGGTGCTTTAAAATTAAAAATCATCACTCGCGCAATCCCCAATTCACTCGGTTATACATAGCGCTGCCAGTGCACACTGACACATAAAAGTCGGGGTTGCTGGATTGGGATGGATTTGCGGTGGAACGGGTGCTAGTATCAAAGGTGGGCATCTTTCCACGGAGATCTGATTTGAACGCGTGCCAAGTGCCCAGTTATAACGGAATCGGATGGGAGGAGGTGGGCGCGCGCTTCGATGAATATGGTGCTTGCTGCCTCAGAGCCTCAATCGTGTGGTGATTATCGAGTCCGCGTCTGATGTACGATATTTTCGTACGTGGGATATTTTATAGATGAGGTGGGAGGAACGCAAGTCGAGTTCAAACCAACCCTGAAGTGAGGTGCATCCAGCTGCAGCGTAAAACAAACAAAAATTAGGTACAACAGTCGAAGAAATATACGGGCGCGCTGTCGGGGTGTATGCAATATCAACGCGGCGACCCGATATCATTAGATGCGATTCGACGGACGGACGGATGCGGAATATTCGGTGATTTAAAATAATTTGGTTTCACTTAGTATAACTGTGCACTCGGCCGTTGTACATCACGCACCTGTGTATAATCTATCATTATAATAGCCTGGGTGGTCACGGTGTTTGCAGCCTTCGTTTCAGTTCGATTAGGCTTTCCAGTGCCTAGTATGATGATGGCAGTGTTTGTTTAATATAATATTTAGTGGGCTGATAGAGGCGCGAGGTTGAGGTTGAGGTTGAGGTTGAGGTTGAGGGAGGAATGGAGGGAGAGAGGGTAAGGAACGCCAGAAAGACACCCAACTGCTAATTCGAGGTTGGGGCATCTCCGCTTACACTGCAGTAAGTAATTAATTAATCGAGTAGGGCTGGGGTACGGTTACTTGACTTGACTTACTTGTACTTACTCTGAGTGTCCACTGCGGAACCAGAGCTTGAGCGAGCGAAAGCCTGTGTCCCTGATGTAAATGAACGCCGAAAACGTCTCCGCGGTTCTTCTATGGCTATACATCGCCTCGGTCAAGGTTACTTGAAGTTGATCGACCTCAAGCAAGGTTACTTACTACTTAGTACTACCTAATTAATTAATGAGTGCTCGCCCTGGCTGGATTTTTAGCGCAGTCTTCGACATTCAGGAGTTGTATACCATGTTAACTTAACTCAGCTCAGATGATGATTAACTCAGCTCTGATGATGATTAAGGAATCAGGATGTGTAAGTTTTAGCTTGTGTATTTGGGTTCAGATCCGCGTCGTCGAGTTGACGGGGAGCTAAGCCTAATAGCCGTAGTAATAATAATTACTACATACCTGTATACCCAGCCGGTGGTGCGAATCAATTATTGGGTTTGCGGCAGCGCATAACGGCCGCGGATAGGAATTGGGAGGTAAATAAAATAACCAAGCCTTGTGGTGTTGGTCGTCGTAAGTGACTGTAATTCATATGGTGCTCCAAGCTGTCCCGTAACCGTCCCGTATGAGGCAAAAGCTTGACTTTTTTACGGACCATATTCTTACGGCCGTAACCGTATACGGTACGGTGGGAGCCCTGTAGTTGTGACTTTAACCGTCCCGTATGAGGCAAAAGCTTGACTTTTTTACGGGCCGTATTCTTACAGCCGTAACCGTATACGGGATCCCTATAGTTGAGTTGAGTCGCCGAGTTGGTTCAACATTCAATATCGATCAAATAATGTTCAACACGGAGAATTGCGGAGATTTGGTCCGGCTTCCTATTATACTTATATAGTATTCTGCGAGGACGATGCGCGAAGATCGGTGGTGTGCCTGGCGATGCGGGGTGATGCGATACGGGGTGATCACCGGTTCAGGCCACAGTAAGTATAATTGTCCAACCGCTTATTTATGTCTTCTAGTCAAGGTCCTTGCAACTGGAGATATATATGGATCCCGGTCGACCGTCGGTCTATTACTTGGATGGAGGACTGAGTCCGGTCCGCATTTATTGTAGATCTAGAGAGGTTCCTGCGTAGATCTAGAGAGGTGAGTCCGACTCCGCGTCGAGGGAGCTCCACTTCCAAATCCGACTGTTCCTGAGTTCCGAGTTGAAGATCGGCGTCGCACCAGAAGCGGGAACCAGCGCGAACTCCTCCGAGACTCCGCATAGACGCGGTCAAGATCCATATTCAAACCGATCTGCATACTCATCATATTAGAATACTGAGTTATGCAAGCCTGCCTGATTCCGCCGTCGGCTTGGTCGAAAAAATAAATAAGATGAATGGAATAGACTATATTGTAACGTACAGACAGATTGATACCGTTACAAGTGAGGCGAAATTCGAACTCGGGGTGAGTCACACAATGATTCCTTCCGGTGGCGTCTGTCCAAAAATAAAATTAAGTAACGTACGCGCATAGAAGTACTTATCAAGTCGAGAAGGAGCAAATCGAGCGTGTGCCGGGTGATACGAGATGTACATATTTGAAGTGTGTTTGAGATGCGAGCTCGGATGCGTACCATCACAAGGTACGCACGATGCGTACCCTGCTCAGACAGCAGGCAGGATGGGACTCCGGTCGCGGCGGACTGGCGAACTGAGGCTTTGCGTCCGGAGGTCTGATTCGCCGATTCGCCTCCAGCGTGTGCCATTGTCTAGCCCCATAAAAAAGGGACTGTCAACGGCTTCAATTATGGCAGCCGCGGTCTTCAATTATGTCGTCGGTGGCATTGGCATATGGCTGATCCTGACATCGCGCGAGCACCATACGCGGTTTGGGTGCAACGTAAGCAACGCGTATCATGATCAGAATTTAACTGTTGTTCGTAAGTGCTGTAAGGATGTGTGCTGGAAGTGCTATAAGGGAGTAATAGCGTTGTTCACTGGCCATCCGGAGGAAATACCGGCGCCGAAAGATCAGTTACGGGAGGTCCGTAACGGTATGTCCAGACTCCATATTGGGTCCGAGAGTAGGCTCGACACCGGCCTCTCTGGCGGGCGCTCTTTGAGCCGTTCAT